GATGAAAGGGCCCCACCAAGCCAAATCACTTTATCAGCCCAAACAGCCTCCCTTATTGTGGAATGCCTCTCAGACGTTGGGTGCTGAAATGTCACACCACTAATTGAGAGTCACAACAAGCCTACTTGTTTGGCCAGCTCCTCCGGTTGTGTACAGCTACTGTAATCACCACAATAATTTGGCTCCCCAAAACATCAAATGGTGGCGTGGAAGCTGCAGGAATTTGCATTGCATGCTTTGATCTAGGAAATTTAAACAAAGCTCCCTCTCACTCTGAGCGGCGTGAAGGTTACAATGTCCTGTGCCCTCCCCACATACAAACCCCCTCACCCCACCCGTGTCTGTTTGTCACTCACGCTTCTGTCTAAACCACCTCCGTTCTTGTAATTATTTTGGTGACAAAAGCTACAGAGCGATAAAAATCAGGCATTAAAGATAAATAATAAGTAAGGGTTGACCTCAGGGCTTGTTTATGTATTACACACAAATGGAGACAGACATCTGTTTGGTGACATACCAGTCAGAGAGTCCTGATGACAGTGGTTTATATTTCACAGAAGTTCTATGAGTTAACATGACTATATTTGTAAATCAAGATCAATAAAAATTGACCTTGTCTCTGGTCTGGGCAAAGTTGGACTTGATCATAATCGCAACATAACTATTTAACAAAACCTCTACAGCCACATTAGAGAATCCTACTGTGATTCTTCACTAATGGTTTTGGGATCAACCGGATATGATGAGGATAGTGTGAATGTGGAGTTGGTTACTCTTTATTTACTTTCTCATTAAGCATGTCGAGTTTACCATGTTCAACATCTTAGTTTAGCATTAGCACACTTTCAACCCACTCTTTGGGATAGAATGACTCCACTACGTGAATCACTTGTGAAGATATCTGTGAAAGTGAAGCTGCTTACAGACATGCACTGAACTCCAGATATTCCCCTGAAATTATACGCAGAGGCTGAATATGCAAAGGCAAATGTCCCAGTGAGTTGCTGTGGACATTCTCCACAGTTTATCCTGCCTGCCCCATTGTAAAACCTCTTAATAATGTTAGAGTGAGCTTATGTGAGAAAACAGCAGGAAAATATCTGGAGGATTCACTGCCAATGAGTTTCTAACATGCAACTGATGCAAAACTGAAAAAAACTAAAAGAATACAAATATCTCAGGATGAAAAAGAGGTGTCTTTAATGTAGAGGACACCGATGAAGGTGTCAACTTGGAAAGACTTGGGAGACTGAAAAGATTCAAAGACTCAAAGAGATTTTGGTGAAAATGATGCCAGTGTTGATCTCCACAGCAGAAATTATACGTTATGTCCTGCCTCTTCCATGCTTCACCAACCCTAACGCTCCGGAGATGTCTGTGTTGTTATGAATGTGTCTGTGAGGAGAATCTTCCGATGGGTTCTTCATATGTGAAGGGCAAACCCCAGACGCCATTGTTTGAACATATACAGAGTCATGTATGAAAACGGCTGAAGGCAGCTGCATAACCAGACCCAGGGTGTGGCTGAGAAACAAATGAAATACAATATAGTTTTTGTTTAGTGTTGGCAAAAAACTAAGAACATTTCTAACCTGTTTTTAGCGTAGTTAGCACGCATTAGGGATGTCTTGGCTTGTTTACAACATTAGATGAATGTTTCTGTCACTCTGAATGCATCACACACCCCACTCAAGAATCTGGCGGTTCAATGAATTGTTGTTTGATAGTCTACATGAAAAAAAGGTACACCAAGATTCTTAGTTGGGTAAAGTCAGCATGGACGTAGCCTCGGTGGTGAGCATGACTTTTCATTTACACTCCAAAACAAGCAAACAGAGCTACAGTAGGTCAATCAAACAGACAGATACAATACATTACCTCATCTATATTGCTTATCTGCATCTCAACCAGCTAAACCCACCGAGGAGGAACACTTGACGCTGATTTCACATCATTGTTTGCAAGCGACCTCATCCACTCCTCCTCTCCCTCTGTGGCCCACTCACTAAGATCTGTGTGCTAACTCAGCCATGCGTACTGATGTCTAATCAACAGCAATTAACCCTGGCCTCATTCACGAGCTGTGGAGCTGGGAGATAACGAAAACACCATTGTGATTTTTTTAATTTTATTTTCACACCCTGCTTTTGTCACTTAGACACTTCCCTCGTGGCTGAGTGACAATGGAATGGTATCGAACGGCTCCAGGAAAGTGAACCCTGGCTATTGCTATGGCTGCTGGGTCAGCAAATGTGAGGCTGTCATGAGTGGATTTTGTGTAGCGTTAAGGTGTTGTGTACACATGAGGATAGCAGCCACTGCTACTGATGTGTGACAGACCTTGTTTTGGGTGTTTAAATTCCGTTTCTCATTCCTCATCGCTGAGATAATGCAGTTCTTGGCCAAATCTTTCTGCTGCATCTTGCTCCACTCTCACTGTCTGACTGCAGAATGACCTAGAAAACAAACAGGCACAGGACACATCCACACAGTGTTACGGCCTACAATTTGAGACAAAGGTATTTTGCAATACAGAACCAGCAGGCAGATCTCAGATGGAGTTTAGGAAACCACCTTGTAATCTTGATCAATAGCACGATTCATGTGTCAGTCAATCTCCTGTGTGAAAAACAGACAGGCTGGTTGGAGCCTTGAGTGTAAAAATAGCATGGGAGATAGAGGACACCCCTGCTCTACCCCCACAACTGACCTTTTGCCCTACGAACAAAAATGTCTACATCTAATACTCTGAATTATCTATTTAAATGCCTGGAAACAATCTTTGGACAGTGACACATCAATCAAATGTTCCCCAAACCGGGGGTGGTTGTTTATATAAATGCTGTGCATCTTGGGGAGAGATCTCAGCAATGTTACAGCTCTTTTTTCTGTGGGGAGATGGCAGAGAAGAGAAAAGAAGGAAGTTCATAGAAAAACTTAAAATTCTCTTTTCTTCTGCTTTTTCTTTTCTTTTTTTTTTCAAATCCCAGCGTGAATGTGTCGGCGAGCTCGTGGTATGCACCAAGATGAAAAGTAGAGGCCATCCCTTTGAAATCCTCCTCAAGTCAAAATTACCATTTCATTTCAACTCCAGCCAGGAAACGGAGAGCGGGGCCACTGCTAACTGCTTTGGGCATATCGTTATTTATTGTGTGTAAACTTTGGAGGAACATTGTTGCCTGGGAAAATGTGTTGTGTGGGTGGTGGAAGTGAGCAGTTGGAGCAACCACAAAGGGAGAGATCAGGCCTATTTTCTCTGTAGGAGGAACACATAAAAGAGAAAATAATGCCCATTATTACAGAAAAACAACATCAGACTTCTTGGCTCATAATTTTCTAACAGGCAAGAAGTTACCACTGAAGCTAAACAACCAACCAGTTGACCCTATTTAGGTATCTGTGTTATCATTTTTTTTCGTCCTCTTTTAATTAGTAAGCTCTCTGCATTAAGTGTTAAGTGGGCTATTATCTAAGCTCTAAATTGCTGCTTTTTCCATCGTGGTCACATTAGCTCTGTCATGGCGTTTTATTTAGTTGGCTTTATTTACCTATACACAGCAGGAGGTTGCATCACCTAGACTATATACAACCTCTTTACAGACACTGTCATAAGTTGGTTAAATATTTTACAAAGTGCGTGTCCTTAGGCTACATTTGTACTGCTACGCTTTTTTTTTTGAAAATGCTACTCTGCTACAGCCGTCAGTTTTAGAGCTGCTAAAACTGGGAAGTTTGAAAAAGGCAGCTGGCCTCATTTTAGCTTGAAAACTGTGGGGCTGTGTTTTAGTCTGAACAGGCATACCTGAGAGGTTTGGAAACGACCACCTTCCAGAAGAAAACAACTGACATTAGCTTCGGCTACCAGTGTAGAACACAATACATGCATGCCTTCCTGTTTACACTGGGATGCGCAAGCCCAGTGTCATGTGAGTGGTAATGTGATATGTTTTTTCAGGCGTGTTAGTATTTACATTGAAGCTTGTGTTGGCAGAAATCCTGTTAGTTTGAAAAGGCCCTTTTGAAATGACAACATAGCGTTATGGATGTAGCCTGAGTCTGAGCCAGACCTCTAAAGCCATTTTCAGACATGACCTGCGGATAAAGAGTAATTGCTTCTATCATTAAAGTAATAAAAGGCTGATTTTGTAATTTTAGTAACATACTAACTCTGCTGCAGAGATCACATGATTTTTCTTGACAACAAACAGTGTGTCAACCACCCCACTTGCTCACTGTGTTCTCACATCGAATTCTCCCGACTTTCTGCAGACTTTATACTAGGGGGGCCGGCCGGGGAGAAAGTCTGCAGTTAATCCGGATCAGATACTCAATACTCTGATCGCTGAAAGCAATTTTGTTTGTACACACCTTATGTGTCTATGTGTGTTTGTTGCAGTTGTGCAGCCTGATAATGATCACTTATCTGAAAAACTTTTTTTATCATACCAATACCCGTCATCACTTGTCAGCCTTGACGACAGCCTGTGCTGTTTGTTCCAACATTTCAACATCTATTGGTGATATGTCTTGAAAGAAACAACTAGAATGACACTAAAAACCCAACAGTGCCCTCTTGAAACCACTTTTACATACACAAGATTTTCATTTGGATCACCACAGTCAGTCTATATCAGTCACTTAAACATATCTGATATTTTTAATCAAGATCAATGAATTATTTTCAGAGTAATCAAGAGAGATATTGGAAGTCATCCTATCTCACAATGTTAAGGAATCCTGCATCCTGATCCAGCTCTGCACCAAAATGTATTGGGTTCTTCCCTGACCACAATCTTCTACCAAGTTTCGGTTGAGCAGTTTTTCCTGCTAAAAACAAACAAACAGAGACTACAATATAAACTCCTTGGCAGAGGTAGAAGTGTTTGCAACATATGAATGAAGGTGGGTTATTTAACATTCATTTTCTTCAGGGAAAACCTTTGGGATCCATTGTGGGTGACATGAAACTACTGACTCTATTCTCCATATTGAACCATATTTCAGGATGCAGAATGATCTCTTAGCTCCAATAGTCTGGTCACAGGTCCATATTTGAGGATGGCTTCATACTGAAACTGTAAGCATAAATGCCAGTATTGAGGTGAGACAGCTCACGCTGCTACTGTCAGGACATATAATACATTTTGCTAAGGCTCTGTGATTGACATACTTTCAGAGTTTCAGTCTGGGAATGGATGGAAGCTGATATAGGAGCAGACTGGAGGCTTTGGATGGAAGATATGTCACATTGTTATGCTTATAATTTCTGAGAAAATTATAAACAGGCGCTGAACAGAGTCTCTTTTCATGATCCTGTGCGACTGATCAGTTTTACTGATTAAATCCTTTAGTGACACAGTTTGTCTGCACTGATGCTCTGTTTACACTGCAGTCAACTCTAGTATGAGCTTTTGCATTAATGTAGCACATTTGGCATATATACATTATTTGTTGCATTTTAAGGAAAGTGAATAAATTTAAGCTGGATGTAATTGGACAGTGGGAGGAAGCCTGAGTTCGTGGAGAAAACCCATGTACATACAGGGTTAGAACCAGAAACTTAATGTTGTGAGGCTAGTTAACCACAAACAAACACAATTCCTGATTCAAATTTTTTTTCTGATCTGCTAAATTTAATGGTTTCTTTCTTGACCCATACCACATCCCACCACTAAGTTTCATGGTAATCTGTGCAATTATGTTTTGCCTAATCCTGCTAACTAACAAACAAACAAAATGAAAAACATTATCTCCTTGGCTGAGGTAAACTCTGTAAAAGTGGTTATTGATATAAGTTACTGGACAACAAACCAGATCTAAACAGAGAGTGATGATTGGATCATTCATCCAATCACTCATCTCTCCTAACATTTGTAAATTCACTGTCCTTAGAGGTTTCACACTGGACAAACATCTCAGTGCAGGTTGTGGCATTAATGTAGTATCAACACAGAGCAAGAGGTCAATGTAAACTCCAGACATTTGTTCAACATTATCAATACATTTTACCTCATCCGGTTCTTTTCTGAACAGACTCTTCCACTGCAGGTCTGCCTCTGTATATGCTTCTGTGTATTCTTCACCATAATTCTTCTACAACACTAGTTTATGACACATGCGCACCCAAAAATCAATAAGAATATGATCCACATCACCATTCATAGTCCACAGGTTCTGTATTCTTGACATGTGACTTGTGTAATTGCAGTTATCATAGTGAGTCAGTAGAATTAAGAATAGGAGGAGCGGGGTGTGGACAGAGCCCTGTTGATTCATGACCAGCAGGGAACCAGCTGAACTTTGTTGACTGTGTTCCCATTTAACAAAAGAGTACATCTAATCTTAAACATATGGCCGACGCCGGAGATGCATGCACGACAGCATGCAGCGTGTGGAAAAATACTGCTGTTGTCTGGTTTTTTGTCTCTCTCAGGAAAATTCACATCTGCTCCTTTGCATCCTGGTTTCAGAAATGTGTATCTTCCAATAGAATTTATTTCTACTTTTTATCTCACTTTTGATCACATGTTAAAAACACAGAGTTTGTTACAGAAAGCAACAAAATGCAGTCTAGTTGGTTGATTCCCTAAAAGACCATGTAGGGGAATACTAGTCTGTCCTAACAGTATGGGTCCAAAGACTCATAAAGCTTTATGTCTGTATAGTAAATGGTCTGTATTCATACAACGCTTTTCTAGTCTTCCTTCTCAACGTGCTTGACAGAGCAGTTTTTGCCATTCACCCCTTCACACAGACACATTCAAGCAGTAAATATATGTGCAGCACTTAATCACTCATCAATCAAATAATGTCAGCATGTGGAATGGGTGAGACTGAGATCGAACCGCTGACCCCCTGATTGGTGGACCGCCCGCTCTACCTCTTGAGCCACAGCCGCCCCCAGTGTCCATATACATATACTTTAGCTCTAATTAAAAAAACTGTGTTGGAAATAATCAACGTCCTGACAGAGAGAGGATGTTTGTGAGCAAAGACGGTCCTCACTGTGGTATTTACACATCACTTGTCACAGTTTTACTGAAGTGAGTCATTAAAAGGTCTGTAATTCAACCATCCCGCTCAGACTTAGTAACATCATTTTGGCTGTCCTCAGACAAATTCTGCAAACGTGTCAGATGAGTTGAAAAGCAAGCTGGGTGTTGCATATATATTTGGACTACAGGGGCTTGTTCATTTGTTTTATCTATCCCACTTTTTGTATCCTCCACCTCAATTTATTTGTATTGGCCACCGCTTCATCAGACTTGGCTGCAGCACTTATATATTTAAACAAGGGCTGTTGAGGGTGTTCGACTAAACTCTGGTCAGGTCCGCTCAAACATTTAAACACCGCTCTGTCCGTAGGGGCAAGATGTTTACCTCAGCTGGTTCTGATCCCGCTGCACAGGCTGCTGGTCTGGTCTGTCTTAGATCTGCACTCTGGAAAAGCAAAGGACATGGAGAGTCAAAGAAGACGAATGTGCAATAGGTGCACAAAGAAACAAAGACAAGCTAGTTGCAGGAAGTTAACAAACTGACTGAGAGGAAAAGACAGATGGAAAGGGAGTCTGTTGCACAAAACTAGATCATCTTACAGGAAGCACACGCTCTGATACTTAAGCCACTGACCTCTTGTATACAGGAGTGGGGGGCGGAGGCGATGAGGGCTCCGCAGGCCCCATCTGCATGGCTTGTCCCCATCTCTGTGGCCATGTGCAGCACCTGGCCCCACGCCAGCGCCCAACGCCCCTTTGTGTTGGCCAGAGTGGCCGGTTGGGGTCTGTCTTTGATCCCGGGCCAACTATTCATCTCTAAAGGAAGAGGAAGAGCAAAAGAAAAAAAAAGAGAGAGCGAGGGAAAGATAAACAGAATGGGNGGGGGGGGGGAGAAAAGAAAGTCAACCTCTGCTGCCAATTATTGGAGAAACATCAAGGTCTTTGCTGTCTGTGTAAAGAGAAAGAAGAGAAAAGAGGGAAGGGAAGGTGGAGGATAGTTGTTTGATGGCCTGGTCCAGTGTTAGTTGGAGGATTGTGCGGTGTTGAGGCGGAGGCTGACCCACAGGAGGTGATTACAGGTGGAGAGAGGTATTTGTCTGCCTGCTAACACTCGTTTTTTGGTGTTTTCTTTTTTTTCCCTCTATGCCCTTTTTTTTTATCTTTGCCACTTTCACTATCTCTCACAGACTCCTTTTTTCTTTCCGTTGTTGTTACAATCCTTATCTGTGCCTTTGTCACCGTGTGCTGTTGAACCAGTTCACGAGGACAAACAAAGGTCATTTCTTTGTCTCTGTTGAGGGGTTTCTGTCTCTGTCTGTCGGTCTGTCAGATTCTCCCCCTCTTGCCTTGAACCCCTACTAAACACAGACACACACACACGAACATGCAGCACATATACTACACACACATTAACCGCGTCACCAAAGCAGGAAGCAACCGTGAATGACAGCCTGTGTACAGAAGAAGCATGTCAGACAAATGATGAGGATGTCATGAAAACAAACAGAGGAGAGGATTACAGTGTCGTCAGTAAGCAAGACACATTTTAAAGCCTGTGAGGAGCAGAAATAATCACATAAATCATGCAGGTTACACTTCCACAGTTGCTCTAACTCGGCCTAACAGGCTCAAGGCTCCTTCTTTTATTCCTTTATTATTATTGAGGCAAGGGTTTGGCTCTATGTACAAATAATTTTTCAGAACAAATTCTGCCTCACATCATGACCCAAAGCACCCTTTACTCATTATAACTACTTTGAACTAAAGGGTGTACAAAATAAAACAGGATTAACTCGGCTTTGTGTTGTTATTTATTCTACACTTGTCTCATCACCACCTTTTAACCTTTTTAAAGTGTTTTCATATTCAGACAGTATGTAGTTACACAGGGTTGATTGGATCATTGTAATGTATTAGAATATCAGTGCACACACTAGTTCAGGTATTTTTGTACTGATAGTTTCCCCTCATTTAAAAACAAATGTCCATTCTCATGAACTTTGTTTTGTAAAATATCACAAAATAACACAAAACTGCTTAAAAAAAACAAGCACAGGTGGTGAAAAAAGTCGAAATCAATGATCCGTCAAATACCAGAGAAGAACATAGAGAAACCGGTATACAGCTGCCATTGTAGTTTCTGGCACATGCTCATCACACAAAGCAACATTGGGCATGTGTGCACAAAGTAAACTGTGATGTCATTGTTTCCCATCTTACAGGAACACATGGATACAGACAGTTTATTAAAAAAAAGCACTTTGGAATGTGTTTGTAAAAATCTCTGTTTTAGTGACTTAAAACCCTGTTTGCAAGTGGAAGAGAGGCCGCAAAGAAATATAGATCAGGTAAAATATCAGCATAAGTGTGAGCAGGATATTAATCTGTATTTTATGGTCCCTCTTTGTGTGTGTCTATCCCTTTTAATTAGGGTTATTAATTAAAACTTCTTTATGTACTTCTGGTCCCCCTATTCATTGGCCATGTTAACATTGTATTCACCAAAGAAATTGCTTGGATCTGAAAATATGTCTTTGTAGACAAACCAACAGTTTAGAGATTATGTGAACTATAGCCCCACAGTTACTTGATGTTTGAGGCATCTATATATCAATATGTAAGCTGATCTTTATTTTTTTTAAATAAAAGTTTACTATTGAGAACAATCTATTAAATGAAGATTCCTCTAACAGTAACTTTAAGGACACATTTCTGACTACACCTGACCATACTCATGAGTAGTGCTGGATGTCATCAAATACAGACTTCCAATCAGAGGGGGCAGCAAAACACAGTTTTTTTTGGTATCATGTGTTATTCTGTTTATTGATATTTAAGAAATGTCTCAAAATATATGTTGAATTTTACAGTTTGAAGCTGTAGTGCAGTTATATCACTATGTAGTGGTTTCATATGGTCATATTATTGAGGTAACATCTTATGAGGCCTTATTCACTGATAACTATTTATAATTATAATAATACTAATATTGGTTGGTCAATTTAGGAGACCAATTTATCTTCTGATCCAAACAACCATGTAAAGATGGACAACACCACAAAAGGTGAACCCATAGTACATCAAACGCTCCCTGATGGCAGGCTGCACAGTGGAAAATAGACAAAACTAAAACTTCAAAGTACACATCAGTGAATTTCCCCAGAGATGTAATTCTTATCACACTGATGTAATTTATGTTCAAGTGTAAGTTTTTCAGATAAGTCTGGTTTTAATTGATGGTATAAAAATGGGGTTGCCTGGGCAGATGTATGGGACCCTGATACGTTCAGCTTCGGTAAGCTTTGTGAGCACACAAAATGTTCATGTATCCCTCAAAGCTATGAGCTAACTTTCATGGTATTTAATCCAGGTAAATAAATGGATGCCAGATAAAAACTAATTTCAAGAGTCCACAGTCATACACACAGTACATGTTCTCTGACTTACATCACGGTGCAGCTGGAAAGTTACTTTTACATCAAACTTGTAGTCAGGTGTTTGGTATAAGGGGCCTTAACACTGTTCATATGCATCACTTGCCTCCTCTCCACTGCCTTCGTCCTTGTGGACAAAGAACCAGAACAGACAATAGCACATGCATTGATCACCAAGGACGAGTTTCTATCGCTCTCTCCCTCCCTCTCCCTCCCTCTCCCTCTGTGTGTCTCTGTAATTTTCCTTTCATGGCTGTTTTTCCTGCTGTCCCCCGAGACCTTCTTAGTCGACAAGAGAAAACAAAATCTGAACATTAAAACGCCCCACAGCCCTTTAAACACTTGTCATTTGTCCTTTGTACAAATCATGGCGAGAGTTGCTACTATTTTTTAACAGTTTTTGCTTCATTAATTTTGCTGGTGAGACGGAGGGAAACACAGGAAAACAGACCGTCAGAGAAAGAAAACCACAGTCAATTATAAGTAAGGAGGGACGATCAAAAAGGAGTCATTTAAAAATCCAATTTGCCACGGGGGTGTAAGATGAGAAATGAGTGAAGGACAGTCAGTGTGCTGGATCTCTGTGGACATATTGACCAACCTGAAGCTTTTGTTCTGAGAGAAGGCAGATGAAAGGGATGGTTTACTTAGACCACAGTTCAGTCATGATGCATTAAAATAATTGTAATAATTATTTTTATTATCATCATTATTATATTATAATCAATTATTGTCATTATGATTCTGTAATTAGGCTATGGGTATTTCTGTGCGATATTTTCTTTCTGTGTTTTTGACATGTGAGTGTTTTCATTCCGTGTCATGCTTCTGCATCTCATCTTCATTGTTTAAGTGCATGCACTGTGTGAGTGTGTTCATTAAAATCCCAGTACCTGCGCCCAGCCATGGGCGTTTAATTCAGCGAGCAGGCAGGGGCATTATCACACACTACCATCACTAATCCCCATGGAATAACACACCGACACTTTGATGTCTGCCAAAGAACACTGCTGTAGTATTGGGAGGCGAGACCGTGCATCACGTAGAAACTGTAATTAACAATCTATGGCTGGACTCGAGCCAGGCAGAGCAGCGGAGGTGCAAGGAGGGTGGGAGAAAGGAGAGAAAGACACCGGTGATATGGAGCCAGAGGCACTATGGTAAAGCTTCATAGGAGGTGATATATATGTGTTTGTGTGTGTGTGTGTGTGTGTGTGTGTGTGTGTGTGTGTGCTATATAGATAGATGTACATATATTGGGGTCGAAGTAGCTGGAAGGCAAACCATCAGTCCCTACCACTGTGGAAGTGTTTCTTCTGTGATCAATGCTCACAACGATACACACATCCAGCCGTAGCAACAGCGCTGTTGTCTCAGTAACAACCTGCCCGCAGCTCAAATAAAACCAGACACAAGAGTAAATCCTGGACAACAAAATGAACGTGAGCTGCCACTGGGTAGAACACAAACCCCTGGACTTTTTGTACTTGACGAGGACGCAGGATGAAACATTCAGGCCCTCCAACACCAACTGGCACTTAGAAATGTTCCTCATAGACACATACACACACACACACTCACAAAAGCCTGATTCCTCATGCCACCTACACACATTCTGGTGAGAAAATGATATCAGTGCATGCCAGTGTTCATCACAACACGTGAGTGTGCATGTGAATCTCATCTGCACACACACACATACACTATAATACATATACCTCATGTAAGAGGATAAAACACCCAAAAACCACAGACTTTCATCAAAGCAAGTGAGAGAGGATGTCAGAGATTTTTTCTAAAGATGAAAGCAGGGGATATTCTCTCATTTCGGCTCATGTCTTCTTCTCCCTCTGTCTCTCTCTTTCAAAATCCTTGAAGTATCATCCATGTCTCTGTGAAGAAGGGAAAGAGAGAGAAAGCAGAAGGGAGGGGGCAAAAGTTATTTACGTCCCACGCTGTGTTATGTGGTCTGTCACTTCTCATTTTCTGCCAGGGTTGTCCAACTGGAAGACTTCAGTCAACTTTCTCCAAGCCTGTATTTGCTGAGGTAATTACAAAGTGACAGCTTCAAATCCTCTGTTGCACCCCCCTCAACACTCACTCACTCACACACACACACACACACACACACACTCAGTAGTGTCTCCATGACTTCAGAGGACATTGCATATTGAGTTACATTAATATCCTTGAGACTTGCTCCAACCTTAACCATATACTTAACTAACCCTAACCCATCCTCTAACCTTAACCTAAACCTAACGTGAAAACATTTTTAATGATTTACATCATGGGGACTTGCTAATTGTCCTCATAAGGAAGACAAGTCCCCATAATGTGACTGTGTGAACAGATTTCAGTCCCCACAACATGAGGAATACA